TAACCCCATTTATCGATGTAGTTTCAGAGGTCAGCTTTCCTGGACCCCCTTGGGATCGAGCTAGGAGAAAGTCCACAACCTGCTCTGCCACAGCCCTGCTGTGAGTGATACTGAGAACAAAACAATCTGGTCTGAGGACTGGCAATGACTGCCAATGCTGTGCCAACTGTGGGCTGCACAGCAAGAAAGGGAAGAAGATAAATTCTACCTGGAAATCTCTAAGTACCATCGAACTTCCCCTCCAAACAGGACAGAAGGTAGGAGTTATTTGCTCAGGTTTATCACTCCTGCCTCCCTGGGCACGACATATAAAAAAACTGGAGAGATCTATTTTGGCAAAATGTTCATCTTCTAAACTCTAGAGAAGTGACCCCCTCACTGGGTAGAGCCAGCCTTGCCTTTCCACTGGCTGCCCTGTGCCCACATCCACAGAGCCCCACACTCTCGGCTCAACACACATCTTTGAGCCTGGCTTTGTTGGCAAGCAAAACCTGAAAGGCCTTTCTCATTTCTACCCTCCACATCGCTGTGACCCCTCCCCACATGAGCAGCAGCAATAGGATCACAATGGCTGTGAAGCTTCCCATCTCTTTAGCCTCCAAGCTGCAAGCTACCCACTCCAAAACTCTTGGCAATAACACATCTCTAGCGAAGGGTGTCAGTCACTAACTTTTCCAGCTGTCCCAACACTTTCTTGTGCCCCAAGAATATTGTAGCAAGCCCTCCCTCTGTGCTCTAACTCTATCCAGGTATCTTATCCACTTTTCACCATAGCTGTATGGAGAAGACAGACACATTCTCTCTCTTTCTGGGAGTGAATTATCACTACCTACCACAAACACTGTCTGATACCTTCTGAAGCTACTAGAACTGTCTTATTTGGCAAACATTTGGGCTGACATTTTGGAAGACAGGTTTCCAGAATGTTTGGAAAGTTCAATCACAACAGTTCAGCTGTTACAGAAAGCAAGATTCAGGAAAGTTAAATCACTTCTCAAATTAAATAAACAAACAACTTCAGCATTAGTGGAACTTATTTCTCCTTTTTCCTCTTTCCCCTGTAGGCTTGCTTCAGAGCAACAGTCAAAGCTTGGCAGAGGCATTGTCTTTACGCCAGGACATGTGTCAGCAGCTCAGCACGACATTCTGAAAGAGCCAGAAGAGCGGGTATGACCTAGCTTGCTCAGTGCAAACATTTGTTAAGGCCTTCTTACCACAGAAATGACAAGTCAGGGGATGCTGAGATCGACACTAGAAATGCCCATGTTGATTATGTCCTCTCTGGGTCACAGACAAAACCAATGCTGGTGCACCTCTTGTCACCCTCCTTGGACAGCAACAGATGTTTGTGCAATGGACACACAGCAGGTGGAACATGAATACATAAGAGATGGCTGAAGTGGTACAGTTTGGAGGCAGACCAGGCAGCATCTTTTAGCCTGATTCTATGATGCAGGCGGTAGGGGGGATTGGAAAACAGATCCCAAACAAGGTGTAGAACACCACAAACCTTCTGGAAGTCAACTGCAGCCCTAAATTCCTGGAACACAGAACATGACATGCTTGGAGTTGGTCACCCTACACACTGAGGAAACAACATGAAGCCCCTTCACAAGTAGTCCAGGAGGCATCACTCCATTCTCTTTTAGAAAGAGACAGTGCTTTTGCCACTCTGCACTCTCTGTGGTGGTTTGGTAGACCAGATGGAACCCTGATGCACTATCCAACCAAACACTACAGCTGCTGTAAGGAGATGGAAGGACTTAGTCAAAGACTTGGCAGAAAAATACAAAGTCCACAGCAAGCCCATGAAGTCAAAGCAAAATGCCCTCAATACCCAGATAGCAATAATCCAGTCTCCAAGACAAAAGCTGGTCTCATGGATAAGGCAGATGAACATCACACCAGAATGCTGTTGTGTCTGTGGGATGCTAAGTGAATTACTTAGAATCATATTTAAAAAAAAAATAATAAAAAAAATAAAAAAATCTTTGTTTGCAATGCTTTCCATTTTCTGGGTGCCTAACTGGAGTGTTATTAACTCTTGGTTGCAAGTGAAATCAAAGGGATTTTACTTTGAATGTGAAGAAAATTGCATTAAAAGTCAGAAACTTGTTTTGCAGAACATTACACATCTCACATTAAGCACCCAAAATTAGCAGATGCTTTTCTTATAATCTGCCTGCCTTCATCACCTGTGGTTAGTGAACATACCATCCTCTTATCTCACAGGAACATTGCAAGGATAATTAAGGCCTGTGGAGCATTGCAACTGTATCTGGAGTTAATGGTCACAGCAAAAGGAAATGAGTACTTTTGTACTCAGAGCAGAGTTTGTACAGTGTCCTGTAACTAACTTGTACATATAGCTCTAGAGAAAAAAATACTGAATCCAGTGAGTATCATTCAGGATACTCACTGGAGGAGTACAGGAGCCTCACAGAAAAAAAGTAGGACACAATCGAGTAATTGAGAGTTATCATACAGATTCAAAACAAGGCTCTAGGCACGAGGCAAGGCTGGACAACCACAGTCATTTCTTAACTTCTGGATGACTTCACAATCTTAATGTTTTGTCTAAATGGTGTATATAGTGCATATGTTGTGGTATTACATGCACTTAAAGATTTCTAGACTTTGGTCATAAAATATAATCTAAAATTTTCAGAAGTAATTGCAGGCACCTAAGAAAGAACCAAGAAGGAGACAACTATAAAAGCAAGCACATGTAAATAAAGAATGTTTTCTGCTAACCAGATGTAGTGAAAAAGAAGACAGAAAAGACATACATCCTGGTATTTCTGGTTCAACACATTTTACATGCTTGCCTCAGCACAGGGTGGTTGACACTTAATTTTGTTACTGATGTCTTTTCCACTACAGCTGAAAACATAACTACAGTAAGAGCCATCCAATAGCTCATGATGACAGAAAGTTTAACTTGTTTGGGAAATGCTGCAATGATATATAAATCGGTCTCTTCCTTTTGTCAATGGACTGTCCTTTGTGAGTGGCACTGTCATTTGTGGACTAATTAGACAGGATCAACTGAAGCAGCTGCGGTTCACTATTAAAAGTCTAATCTGTATCAGGACACCTCTTTCTTTTGGAAACCATAGAACATCTTTTTATAGTCAGAGAGAAGGAAGCAGCCATTCATGTTAATTTTTTTTTTTTTTTAAAGGCAGCCTTCTAGCATTATTAAGGTAACTGACATTACTGTTAAATGCTTATGAGGCAATATCCAAACAAATAAAGAACAAGATGAAATATTAAGCAGTGTCTCCTCCAGGCCTCCAGTCACAGGCACTATGACAACTGGTTCTTTGAAGATAACTCTCAGCCATATGTAGTCACACAGCATTTTTCGTTCATCCTTAGAAACATAACCTGGAAATCTCAAACCAAACATTCTTAGAGCTTTTGAATTTACTAATGATCATTTCTTTATTCAAAAGCCTCTTACACATCACAAGAATTCTCATCTTGAGAGACTAAAAAAAAGCATCTAAGAGTTAACAGATTAAAGCATAAGCAGCTAACTAGATTCCATACTTTATATTAAAATAAAATTAAGCAAACATCAATATATGTACTTGATAATGCTTTAAGAGATCTTGACAATGCCTTTTTATAAATGAGGAAGAAGAAAAACACTGTCTTAAGTAGGCTTCTTAATCTAACACTCATCCTAGAAAAAGCAAGGAAACATGATATGGCACTAACCAACAGTGACAGAAGGATGGAGCCAATGAATGTTAAGTAGCAATGGTTTGAGGAACTTGTCAGACTCTTGAAATTGTTTTGATGCAAGATATATAAAACTGTTTGATAAAGGTGATGGTGCCAATGTGCATGCACACTGATACCTGTAAAATAACCATCTTCTCCCATGACATCTTAATTGATAGGACAGAACAATGTAAAGCCAATATGTAAGTTAAACCATTTAAATGACAGATTTCAAAGTGTCATTTACAATGTGGGAATTCAAGGTTGTTTGGCTACACTTTCTTAGAAACACAGTAGGACAGCAGTGACAGTTGTCTGTGCTATTACGCATTTTTATGACTGATTTGGGGAAACCAAAAGTTTGCAGATAACAAAGATATTCAG